TGAGTGCCCGCCTCAGGGAGGGACGCGTGGCCTGAGGCCGGGCCGCTGTGGCCACGTGGCCAGCACGCCCCACCGACCGCAGGACGATGGACCCCGCGGGACCCACTTCCCTGTTTCCATTTTTCGACACGTGTCAGCCTTGGAGGGGGCTGAGGCCGTTTCGTAGTTAACGGTCTCCTCCAGGAAAGCAGAGGAAGGGAGGGATAGACGCTGGGCTCGTTACGGTCAGTCGGCTAATAGAATTCGCGGAGACACGTATTTCCGTGAAATCACACAAACCACAACCGTTTCCAGTTCTGTCTGAAATTAGCAGTCGTGATTGGGAATACAGCAATAAAGGACAGGTTTAATTTGACAAAGATGTTTTTGGAATTTAAAGCAAGTCCTCGGGGAGGGGACACGTGTCTAAGCCCAGGGGCCCAGGGAAACGCGTGGTCTGCGGGGCCGAGCCGGCGGCCGGCCGTATCCCTACCGTGCGGTTGGTGCAGACGGGGGTGAAGGCGTTGGTCCCGCAGGTGAAGAGCCGGTCTCCGCCCACCAGGAGCACCCGGATGTAGTTCTGACACTCCTCCTGCGGACAGAGCACAGGGGTCCGTCAGAGGTCAGCGGGGGCCACGCGCGTCCACTCTGCTGGCCAAGAAAGCCAATGCCAACGACCGCCTGCTGACGAAAGCTCACAACGAAGTCGTTAAACCGCCGGGCTCTGCAATCACGCACCCTGTCCGAGAGTCAGCTCGTGAGCAGGTGCCGCTGCCCAGCACAGGCTCGGGGCCTCTGGTTCCTGGACCGACGCGCTTCATTCTGAGCCTCAGCCCACAGCAGCACTGACTCTGAATCACCTTTGACATGTCCCGGGAAAATAAATAAAAGGGACCTAATATCGCAAAACTGTTGCTCATGAAATGGTCTTAGAAAACTTCCCAGGGCTTTTGGGAATCAGCATTGCGAGTGTCCGTCTCGGGGTGCGGCCAGGCAGAGCCCAGCACAGTCAGGGGTCTGCACCTCCGTGGCCAGGCTAGAAATCAGACCCGTGGCATAGGGAAGGGCTCACGCGGGGAGAGGCCCTTGACGAGCGCCACTTCCAGGCCACATTTTTAGCTGCCCGAGGGGCTCATTCATAGAAGATGCAGCCCTGGACATGGCCGGGGCTCCGAGTCCTTCACTCGGAAGCGTCGGCTGGCCTCTGCGGCCCTGACCACACGGTCAGAACAGAGTCCGCCACAGGGTTGACCTCACACAGCAGTGGGTAGGAAAGGGTGTATTAAAGGTGCCCAAAGAGGTGACAGCGGAGACACCTTTTAAAGTAGAGCAGGATTTAGCAAGGCTTCCTGGAGGGGTGCATTTGACACTTGCAGGTGTTTACTGAGCAAAGGAGAGAAAAGCCATCGGGCTGAGGATGCCCCGGGCCGAGGCGCCGAGGCTTGAGAAGTAGGGTGCTTGTACTGCGTACAGAAGGAGTCGCCTCTCAGCCGGCAGCCGCCGCACCCAGGTACAGGACTCCCACGCTTGTGTCTTGTCCAGTCCCTGGACGGCCCAGGGGGAGGGTGCTGCAGGACACGGAGGCCTCGCAACCAAGCAAAGTCCAAGAAACGTCGCCTCGAGCCCGCAGGCCCCCCTGAATCCCACCCCGCTGCATGACGGACGGAGCCCAACGGTGGGAACCGGCGTCTAAATGTGGCAGAAGCATCGGGGACGATGTTTCTCTTAACATCGGGACGAGCACCACAGAGGCCGGGGACCTCTGACGGGGATCTGAAAGCCTCTGAGAACAGAAACAGAACTCGAAGACCACGGAGCCAGTGTAAACGGGAGACGCTGGTTGGTAACTGAGACACAGCCAGATGGGGAGGCTTGTTCTGTTCCATTCTGTTTTGGTTTTATAGTTGGGGACCGGCCAGGAGAGTTTGGGAGAGACAGAACCAAACAAGACTTCAAAGAGCCACCTGGTGATGCCTCCCAGGCCCCGAGGAGGCAGGAGCCCAGGGGAGCCCAGGGGAGCCCAGGGGAGCCCCACCCGACGCAGGCTCGTGGAGGAGGGTCAAGACAGGACCGGACAGGGAGCCCGGCTCAGCCGGGAACTCGGGCTCGGGGCTGAGGGGCTGAGGCAGGGCGGGCGCCATAGTGCAGAGCCCAGAGCCTGGGCCTCTGTGGCTGCTCCCCAAGGCTTTCAAGGATGCATCAGGAGGCAAATAGCTCTTTTTTGTTTGGCTTTTCTTAAATCCAGATGCTGACACAAGAGAGGTCATAGCTGGTGGTGGGGAGGGGAGTCAGCCTTGGGAGAGGAGACCTCGGGGCTGAGGGCCCCCCATCTGGCAGGAACAGGCAGGGCCTCCCCCGGCCCCAGGCAGAGAGCAGTCCTGACAGGAACCGGGAAGCTGCCTTACTCTCCCCAAAGACCGCCCTGGGGCTGTCAGGAACTGGAGGAGAACAGAGGTGTGGGGGGTGAACCCGGGGTGCAGCACTCCGCCAAGGCACATCCTGGAAACAGGTGGGGCCGCAGTGTCCAAACTCAGCCGCCGGCCTGGCGACCGGGGCTCCTTGTCCTCGCCCCACCGGCCCCGCTCCGCTCCTGTTCACCTTTTCTAGTGGACAAAGCCGGGATTCCGGGCGGAACTGGCTGAGACCAGGGCGGAGGGAGGAGTCAGGGAGGGGAAGCCGCAGCCTCACCACCGCGGATAAGCAGCCTGGACAGACGGAAGCCAGAACCGCCGCAGGGCCGGCGTCGGGGGAAGGGACCACGCGGCCGAGCCGGACGGATGCCTGGAGTCCGGCTGTGGCGGGCCCTCTGCCCCCGGCCCAGGCCCATGGAAGTCCCGCTCTCCCACCTCTGCTGAGATGGCCTGCAGGACAAGGGTCCACCATGTCCTGGGCGCAGAGCCCGGATGAAGTGTGGCCGCCTTCTGCCTCTCGTGCCTCCAGAGTTTGGCTTCCGAGCGGTGAGCAGCCAGGCCCCGGGGGCCCCCGAGCAGTCAGATCTGTGTGAGGGGCCCTGGGCTGCTCTGCCCCCTGGGTCAGGTGTCCTGACGGGGTCCCCGCTCAGCCCGGAGGAGGGCCCCGGCCGAGGACCTGCTGCCCCTGAGGAAGGGGCCGCAAGCTGAGGGTGTGGGGAGGCGCCGCCCACCAGCAGCGGCAAGGAGGCCGGGAGAAGGTGGGAGCACCCCAGCAGGAGCCCGGGCGAGGTGGGGGCTGCCTGTGTCCGGCTCAAACTGGAGGGAAGCGGGGGAGCTTGTCGTCAGAGCAGGTCAGCTCAGGACCACAGTCAACATTAAGACGAGATCGGGCGCGTTCAGGGTGGTATGGCCGTAGACACAGTCAACATTAAGGACGGAGGGAATGGCCTGCGCCGCTGTGTGGCGATCAGCGGTCGCCTCCTAACCAAAACGCAGATTCCCGACAGACACTGTCCAGGCGCCTCTCCGCGGCGGCCTGCGCTGGGCAGGGCGCATCTGACTCCCCCGCGTTGGGCTATGGCCCACGGAGCAGGCCCCCGGGAGCGTGGGCTGCACATCTCTCATCCGTCGTCAACGTCTATGATCTTCCTTTTCTCACCGAAGTTTCGTTTCTCTGACCCCACGACTGTACCTCGAGGAGGCTTAAGGGTCTTCAAAGAACTCTGGTTTTCCAAGACGCCCTGGTGTGCCTGTCCGAAGCCGTCAGCGGTCACCACGTGGCTTGGGTGGCTGGTGACCAGGGTCCCCGACCTCCGGTCAATGATGCCGCCTGACCGGGAAAACAGGCAGGCGCCTGAAACCCTGCGGGAAGCAGCTTCCGTCTGAAGGGAGGGCTGGGCTGAGTTCTTGCTGACTCCGGAGAGCTTCGGACGAGGCCAGCTGGTGTCCGCGGGGTCCCGGGGACAGCGACCCGGGCCCTGGCCAGCACGTGCCTCAAGCGTCTCAGCGCCCCTTTAGAATGAACGCAGGCTTCCCCTGCAGCCTCTCCCCCTGAAGCTGGGCTATCTGCTTGAAGAAAGGCGCCGCCTGCGGCACCGGCCCTCGCCCCGCCAGCCACCAGCAGGGGCGGGAGGGCAGGGGCCACGCTGGAGACCGCCAGCCCGCGCGGTCAGCGCCCACTGCCGAAACCCGCAGGCTTCCTCTCCGCCCCGCGGCACCGTGCCGAGGCGAAGCGCCCACGCGCAGACGGGGCTCCACCGGCCTTTCAGGGGACTGCACTAGTTGCCATCACTAGTTGCCGTCACTAGTTGCTATCACTAGTTGCCATACTAGTTGCCATAACTAGTTGCCATCACTAGTTGCCATCACTAGTTGCTATCAGTAGTTGGCATTAATAGTAGCTATCACTAGTTGCCATTA